TATTATATTATATTTTATATATTATATATTATATATTATATATTATATATTATATATTATACATTATTATATTATATTATACAACAATATTATATTATATTATTATACAACAAGGTAAACGGTATTTTAATATACGTATGTTTTATATATATGCGTATATTAATATAACGCACCTTGGAAAGCAAATACTTATTGAACGTAAAACCTTTTTAGTTGCGGTAAGATTTTAGATGCGATACGTAAAAGTAATATTTGTACTTAATTTAAGTAGTGCTATTAATTCGGAATGAATAACATTAGGTTCTAACAAGTTGCTTCTAACATTTACTTGTAATTACAATATCTCAAGTACATACTAATATCTATTAATCGATTTCTTCATATTATATAAAAGAAAAATGTAATATTTATCGAAGTACATTATTTTTACGATTTAAAAACTTTGATATTCAATTATAATTAAGTCTGACAAAAATATTTTTATTTAATAGTATTTTTCTTTTATTTTATTTATTATTACATTTATACGTTTTAAAGTTGCAATAAATATATTCAGTTAACAAATAATATTTTTGTTTCGTTGAACATATAATATAAATGTTTCAAATACAAATTTTTTTATATGAACCATATATATTTTTAGATTTTAGTAGAATTTATATTTTATTCCAGAAAAAATTGAATATAACATCTAATTACTATATTTTACAGTAGAATGTAATAAAATCTTTATTTTATATCAAATAAAACTTTCTATTTAGTTTATACAGAAATTCGAGTGGCATTTATAAAATAGAAATATAAAAATCTTAAAAATTATTATTATAATATATATATATATTTCATTCAATTTATTGAAGTAATCATTTTATAAATTTATCTCACATATGTATGAAATAAAAGACCAATAATTGTATGCAACTATTCTATGTATACACATTCTATATATATATATACATAATTTATATATACATCATTTGAATGTTTCCAAAATTAATTCACATGGAATTCACATAATTCAACAGGAAATATAATATAATAGTCATGTGGATGAAAGTAAAAAATTCAAATGGGATAATGGCTAAAAAATAGATGTAGTTAAATAATAATAAAATTAGATAGTAAATTAAATAGATCTATGTATTTCAACAAGTATGAGAGGGGAAATAATTTCGAAGGACACTAACACAACAATACAAACAGAAAGAAAAATAGGTAAATATAATAGATGAATATATATTTGTAAAGTGAGAAACGAGAATACATAAATAGACGGATAAGTAGACAGATTGGATATACTGATAAAGTAGGATGAAGGAGTTTGGATGGAGTAAAATGAAGGTAGTGGATAGCATCCGTTTGTGATATGTCATGCGTCTAAATTAAGATAGTGTAACGTAACACCAACGTCCAACATTTTAGTGCTCTACTACTCACCATGCGACTACATGCAACTTGTTTGTATCGTATAAAATTAATCTCTGCGCGTTTATAATTTTTGAATTTATTGAATTCATAAATTTATAGTGATTATCAATTATGTATGATGATTTTTTTAAAGGTTTTTTTTCTAAGGTTTTCTGCAGGTTGAGATATACAACAAATTATAAATTATTATGTTTTATTAAATTTTCAATTTTTTTTATAGACAATAGAATCTTTAGTTTTTCTTTTTTGCTTTGCAAAAATTTCTTTTAAATGATATTTTGAATATAATTTTATTTATTTCATTGTGCGACAAAATCTGTAATTATTGTTCGATAATGTTAATGGTTTTACGCATGTCTAAAAAACATACTTGAAATGTTCAAAAAATTTTAATATCCACAATATTAGAACTAAATCTAATTAAACTGTAGATCATAGTAAAATTATATTATCAAGCTAATTATTTAAACATTATACATAGTCTAATATTTCAAATATTTTTAAACAGGTCGATTGTATTTAATTATTTTTCAAAATTATGAATATTAAAAAATTGGTAGAGAAATTGATAATTTGAATGATAAACAGTTAGCAATCGCAGAAGTATTTAGAAATCAAGAATAAACAAATAATTGATTTTAGTTTGGTTTATTTAAAATAAAAATTATTATATATATATTTATATATTGTTTAAAAATAAAATTATATTATATTATAATTAATAAATTAAAGTAATGAGGGGAAAATAAAATGTAAGAGCAAAATCTTTCAAAATCGAAATATGTATTAAAAGGGAAACATAAGTTGGGAATTTTCGAAGTCCCGGAAAACGACTACGTATGCGCATTTAACTGCTATGAATAGACGCCTTTATGACCTCGTACTAACCTCTCAATCCTATTTATAAAGATTTTAGATTTCTCAAAGCAAACTTAAAATTTAGGGAGAATGCATTTATTATTATTCTTTATTTATTACTTTCCTTTTAATCGAAAGATATAATTGCTTTCTCTTTCTTGAATTAGAGGTTGAAATTAATGACATATACGCTTAATAAACAAAAGAAATTTGTAACATTTAATATACTAAATATTAATCTATCGATATACATTTTAAGAAATTCCTGTATTTAAACAATTTTCGAATTCATATTTTTCATCTTATAGTAATTCTAATAATTATAGCTAACAAATTTTCAGAAAGTATTTCATAGATTTTTATGGAAGCTACGAAACTAAAATAATAATTTTATATAGTTTGCTGTGTAATTTTAATTAATGACAATGTTTAGAAATCATTTTTATGTTTATTATAATATAGGATAATAAAAATGGTGGTGTATATTTGATAGCATATAAAAATTTTAAAAACTACAGTAGTATAAATTTATAATATTATTATAAATTAAAAACTAATTATTTTATTTATGCAGTAGAATGTTTTTATTTTTAATAGTTTAAATCATAATACTTAATGTTATTATAAAATGAATTCGTTATGAAAATATCATTATAGATAGATAGTTTATATTAACAATTTTATTTAATCTAAATAATAAATAATCATTCTTATCAATTACATAATTTTATTAATAAATTAACAAATGTATTAAAACGAATGTTAAAAAAATGATTTATCGAAAATTGAAATTTAGTAATTTTGCAGATAAATTAATTATTTTAAATTAATATAGTTTAAACAGATAAAATAATCATATTTGATCAGTTTGATGTTAAGGTATAAGGTGAAAAATGCAATAGTTTATTAATATTATTGTTTTAAGATTCTAGTTCTGCGTAAGAATTACAAGAATTTGATTTTAATGTTGCCTCTCTTCTTTGCTTTCATATATTGTAAGCATAGTGAAATATTTCATAAATCATAGGGCGTCTGAACTATGACTTAAACACATCTTCATATACCTAATCTGACAAGGTTTAATTATGCTTAGTACTTGAATAAGTTGGATTGAAAAAAGTTGAATAAATGTATAGATTTTGGGCATTGTTGTATGTATTGGTCTATTTATTTCCCGATTGCACCTTCGTCCAAATTTATATAATTACACATATTTAACGAGATAACAAGTCCGCGTATTTCGAGAACAATAAGGGATTGGCAACAGCGATAAAAATAATGCGGTTACAGATAAACATAATAGCAAAAATACAGTATACAGTAGTAGTGGTCAGAGTAAAGTGTGGAAGTTTTTTTCTCAAAAACAGTTTATTGATTGACATTTTTATATATCTAAAGTATTTTAAAATTGCTTGAATTTTATGTCATATAATTTGAATAATAATTATATTTTTGTATTAATTAAGAAAAGTTTTGAGAATAACAGAGGCAAATAACGTAGGCTCTGACACTGTCAGTATTTTTTAATTATAAGGTCAAAACATAATTATATGGATTATTTTGTATTTCATATTTTAATTTACAAAAATTGTTAGATACTGAATTGAAACTGTTATTTATATAAGGTGAAAATTAATTCTTAAAACTTATATAGACTGTGTGAAATTAAATTAAAAAACAATTAATCAAAGTTTATATGCAAAATCAGTTTCATTTGTTTATTTAGAATTTATTAACTTTAGCTTTAGCTTTTGCGAATTTTATTAACAAATATACATATAATGATTAAATGTTATAATATTAATCCAATATAGAAGTTAAAATATATAAATTTATATAAAGCATAAAAATAAAAATATAAAAAATATAAAATATAGAAAATATAATAAATAAAAATATAAAAATAAAAATAAAAATAAAAATAGAAGCTATAATGTACAAATTCATACAAAAGCTAAAAAGAATAATTGTTCATAGAACTATTTAAAATTATTTTGTAAACAACAATATATAACAATACATTAAATAAAGTTAATATAGATCATATACTTGCATTAATTGAAAAAAATTAATTTTATTTATAGTTAATAATTAGAAAGATTGAATTTATGAAATAGATAATATTGCAGATTTATCTTTTTCACGCAACCTAATTACGATAAATTAAAAACATTAATCTTCATATCAGTTGATAATATTTGTCTTAAAGGATATCACCTTATACAATCAACCAATAATATTAAATATAATATTACAGTCAAGAGTTTGATTTTGACAGGTATCCTGATTGACTCGAAAACTGTCAGCGGATTACCTAGCGTTATCTAAATTCCTTCGAGGTCCACTGGAATTATCTTCATTTTATTGCAATTTCAGAATGTCAAAGAGTAATTGACACTTGGCGACAAAAGAATGCATACAAATCCAAAACTTATTTATTTACTTGAGTCATATACATAGATAGGAGATATTTATTCCAAAAGGGAATATATTTAAGGTGTCCTTTAAATGACATATCTTTAGCATCTTGCCAATCAATAGGTTTTAATTGAATTCATTAAAAATTAAAAAATATATGTAATCAAGAGAAAAAAAAATTACGTGAATTACCTTGACATGATTGCCAGAAGACCTCGAAAGAGTAAGTCGAGTAAACACAGGGTGAAGAATAAAAAAGATAATAGGATGAAATCCATAATTTTGTATATACTAACCGTTACGTTATACGACGACACATATGGCCGTGAAGTTGAATACGTTGAATATGGTCGACGAGTTGTATAGAAATCGCTTGAGTAAACCATGTTTTGGCTCTTTATTTTTGTTCACTTGATTATGAACCGCTTGAGTTCTTGCTTAGTTTATAATGGATTATATTAATCGATACTTTTAAGAGGGTGTATTTCGTCGTTCGAGTTGTTTATGTTCAATAAACAAATAATTAAATGTGCATGAGTCGGTGTCGGAAAAGTTGATAATCTCACTTGGTAGCGAGATGCGTTCGCGGTAAAAGTTCGGACAATTCTGCGACTTGATGCCTGTTGCTCGGATCTAGACGCTTAGCGTCGCTATGCTCTTTTCGCCTCTTCTCTGTTTCTCTTACTTCGCCGACGTTGCCATAGACGAGGTAATTGTGTCATTTTTAGACAGCTTTTTCCCTTATTCATTTTTTCCTCTTTCCTTTGCTCATTCTTTCTTTCTTTCTTTCTTCTTGTCTAATTCGTTCTTCTTGGTCTAATTTTCATTTTATATTTTTTATGCCTTCATCTTCATGGACTTTGATGATCGCTTGAATAAGTGATGAAGCGACTAGTTAGGAGAAAAAAATAGAATACGTGCTAAGGTTACCACCGACCGCTTCTTCGTAAACTTGAGAAGGTGGTTGGTTTTTTTCTGTTGATTGCCGTCTTTTATGTATGATATTTGAAACATTCTGATGTTACGTTAATTATTTAAAGATTATCATCATAGTTACTTGCGTTTTTATAAATATAATCCTTCTTATTTTATAAAAATTTTGATATGACTAATCTATGATTTGTTTTTGGATTACTACGGAAGCGTGAACAGAACTTTATTGCATAGTACAACGGTATTCTAGTCTTTAAAATATACAAATGGCTTTATTAGTGTAAAATATTATTTAAAAGAAATAATTGAAAAATTCGGTAATAAATTAAAAGAATAATTATTTTAAAAATATTAATAATTTGTATATTATAGTATAATAAGCAATTACATTATATTATACATTATATATATTATAAATACATTACATTATAAATTAAATATATAATTTATATAATTATTAATATTATATAATAACAACCGAATATATTAATTTATATATTACTGAATATATTCATATAATAACAGGTGAAAAATAAAATATTTCGATATTATTTTATGTAGTAGTTTAGTATTTAGAAAGTATTTTTTATACTTATATATTTTATATATTTTATTTATTTTATATATTTTATATATCTATATATTATATAGAAAGTATATTTAGTTTAGTTTTTTGAAAGTATTCGCCAACATTATTATAATTGTCTAAAATTTTATATTATCAATACTAGTATATTACTAATTAAAATTACTTATTAAAATTCATTATATATTTGATTGTATTTAATAACTTATTTCGTATTTTTAAAAGCTTTTAATAGGCTTAGTATTTTTAAGAATTTTTAAAAATGTATATAATTTTGAATAATGAAATAAAATCATATATATTTTAATTATATATAAAATCAGTTTAATTAATCTTAATTAGTATGTTTATAAGAATTTAGATATTATAGTGTAAATTTATTACAATGTATTTTATTTTTTATAAGAGACAAGAACTCTGATATAAGTAAATTATATATATATATATAATGATCCAAATTGGCATACTACCATCTAACATTGTAAGTTTAGAAAATGAAATATTTTTTAATACGATTTTCTTAACCTATAAATAGTGATTTATTTAATGTAAAAAATTTTTATATTTCTTCATGTGTACTATCAAAGTGAGCATATTCAGATAAAATAAAAATGCACTCAAATTTAAAAGATATAAAAATTATAAATCCAAACTTCCAAGTGAAGTTTAAAAGATAAAACGCCTTTTAATTGGTTGGATTAGTCATAGCAAGAGAAATCTAAAATTAACAAATACTTGTTTACCACAAGATGAGAAATTTTTTTCAAAATAGATAGCATCCATATTTAGGAATCCATATTTCGAAATAGGTAGATTCCATATTAAGGGATGGATAACATTTGTTTTTTCATTATTTTCTCTTTTTCGTTTTTTCTTGTTTTATCTTTCTATTTTTTATAATTTCTTCTTTATCTTATCTTTTCATTTAATTTTTATACCTTAATAAACCTGTTCGATGGCAAACCCGTAGTACATAATAAATATAAAAAACTTACTTTCCAAACAGGCCAAGGTTCTCTCAAATTTTGTAAATCGAGAATACGTTCTTACATTGGATATATTAATGATATATTAGTAACTCATTTTAATAGTTTGATTAAAAATATTATTTTAAATTTAATTTTTTCTATCATACTTCCTGAAGTTACTAAATCTATTAATCACGAAGATATTTTTAAAGAATCTTCGATGTAGCCAGATATAGCAAAGTGTAACTGGCGGAAGGCTTATTAATGTTTTATTTAAGGAAGATTTATTTTTAGTAGTTGTAATTATAATTACGTAGGCATTCAAATAATTTATTTTTTAAATAAATGTAAATCAAATTATAATAATAATTTTATTTTAATTTTCTTAAGAAGTATTTTATACGTTTTTAAAAGCAAATAAATAATATTAATAAATATTATTTGATTATTATTATAAATTATATAGATATTTTACATTATTATATTTATACATTTTTTCTTTTCTCAATTTAATTTATTTCCTTATTTAACTTATTTTCAATATATCAAGTAGTTTTAAATTTTAAATATTTATTATTTAATATTTACAGGATTATTTTAAAATTTAAGTATATTTACGAATTTAAATTATGAATTTAAAATACGAAATAAATTTTATCTATAATTTCAATGAATTAATAGCTGTTTGAATTCGAAGAAGATAAATACATGTCTCATATGAAAAGAAAGGAAACGTAAAGGAAAACTTAATGTTTTTTATATGAACGTCTTTGCTCAGTTTTAATATATGTTACAAAAATATGACATTATTATTTGCATAGAATTAAAACAAAATGATCTATTTTTAGACATTTTTGCTTTACGAAATTCTGAAAACTTTTGTAAACAAAATTTGTGTTGTTTAAATATTACTGCAACTTATATAAAAATAGAAGAATTGAATTTAATACTAATTAATGCAACACAATATTTTTTTATAAACTTGGTTTGATTATTTTAATTAAAACTAATATTTTTAATTCCCATTTTTTAATTAATTGATAATTCATAGTTTAATATAACAAGAAATATATTTACCAGAAATTTATGAAGAAAACACGTGTATTCATAATAAATTTTAATGTTCTTGGGCATTCATCCAGAAATTTTCGTAATATTTAACAATCAGTGAATAAATATTAGAATTTCATTGCAAAATAAAACAGCATTTATGAAACATTAACCTCTCTGCCTATTCATCTGGATTTATAAAGGACATTAGAAATATTAATTATAACGTTTTATTAATAGATTTCTTATTTGAATAATATTTAAATATCTATAGTATTAAAATAATTTTTCAAAATTTTATTCACTTCTATAAAGTACACAAATTTTGCAATCAAAATTAAATATTATTTTTATACATTATATCAATGTAAAAGTATATATTTCAAGAAATATGTTTGTTTTATATTAATTAAATGTATATATTTTATATAAAATAAATTAATGTATACGATTATATATTTAACATTAAATTTTTATTCCATTTACGTAGTGCAAAATATTCATTTATTTATATAAAATTTTTTTTTAAGGTCATATATTTGTTATATTTGAAATATTATTATGTTTTGATGTATTAACCCTTCGAATTGTTGTTTGTTATGCAACCAGGCGCTGTTTTTTTATGTTGAGAATTTTTAATATCTAAACGTTGAGAGTATTCTTCGACGTAATGACATTAATACAAAAGGATATTTAAATTTATAATACTTATTTAACATATGTTTATTAAATTCTAAAATATTATATTTCATAATATGGCGAATGTGACTGCTTTTGTGATTTATAACCTTAAATATAATACAATAATTTGATTAATTCAATGAATTCGGTTGGTTATTTATTTATTGTGAACATTTGGTACAGATATTCGTTTGTTTACTTTAAAAAATTATTGTTTAATATATAAAATAAAATTTTTAGTTGTATACTCAAAATTAAAAAATTTTTAGAATAAAAACAATGTTGCAAAGTAATGTTAGTAACATTTATATACTTTGTTTTTGAAATCAAATATTTAATAATAATTCAGTTGAAAATATAACTTACTGTTACTTAATATTACATTTTAATTACATTAGTAACTTAATATTACATTTTATATAAATTATATATATTTTTTGTAAAAATTTATATTCATACTTTTTTATATTATTTATTAGTTAGAACAAATAATAGACAGCGCATTACCAGATAAACGGCATTGTTCAATGCTTGATACAGAAATTGAACCATTGAATTATATTTTATGTAGTAATAACGATACACGAAATTTGGTAGAATTCATAAAAGAAAATAAAAGCAATAATGAAGTGAATGATCAAAATATAGAGTATTTAATTAGTAATATTTAAGTTAAAATTAATTTATAATATATTTTAGATAATTATAAATTAAGTTTGATACAATATTCTAACTTTTATATGGAAGATGTATAAGAAGAATTTAAGTCATTCTATGGGACCAAATAGTCAACAAATAAAATAAACATTAAATATTGATAATAGTAGAAAACGAAATAAAAAAGCAAAATTAAATTATCAATATTCTGTTAATATTAGACCAAGCTATGAACCAATACGCCAATCTATAGATGATACAAATGTAAATAATTATTATGCATTAAAACAGACATCTATTATAAATAATAAGCAAAGTAAATAAAAGCAAAAATGTAAATATTGAAGAGTGCTATAGATAATTTTTTATAAAATAAATGTTGAATACAAATAAGATTTATTTGAAAAGTGAATTAAAAAAGAAAAGTTGTTTATGCTTTTTATTAAAAAAAAAAAAGTTTGTTTACAATAGTTTTTCACTTTAAATTGTATAGTAGCTCATAAGAAAGTAACAAATTTATGAAAAAATTTTAAATTATATTATAGGTTAAATGCTGAACATAAGGCAATTTACAGTCATCCTAGTGATACTGAGTATGAACTACCCGATATTAAAACAGAATGTGTATATGGAATAAAATGTTATCGTAAGAACTTGGAACTTAAAATAAAATATAAACATACACGTGATAAGAGTAAGCCAACTCAAACAATTTTTAAACTGGTTTCTTTAGAAGTTTTTTCAGATTCAGAATTATCTGAAGAAGAATCAGTTGATGAATCAGAATATGAACTAACATTGACTGGTGGTGAAAGTTAGGGATCAGCAGAATTTGAATTCTAAGAAGATAAATATTATTTAAATGAATAAGTATTTAGCAAAATTAGTTAATAATCAAATTATATAAAACTACATTAATATACACGGTATCCTTCATCAATGTCTAAAGTCATATCTTCTGTAGCAACAATAGCTACATCAGCTAACATATGCTTAGGAATTTCAGAACCTCGAACTTTAATTGTATAACATACATTCTCCATTTTTAATAAATTTTGTTTTAAAACATACATTTTTTTATTCACTTCTGCTGTAGTAATACCAGCACAACTTAAAAATCCTTTGTACATATTTCTAACAAAATTACATATTTGATAACAGCTTGAAATATCACCATTACTTAAATTATTAATGCATTTTCGCATTAATTCTCCAGTAAGATCAGCTATTCCTAATATATATTCAACAGGTGCAATTAAAGTCTGAATTGTCTTTTCTTCTACAGAATATTGCTCATTTTCATTCAAATCCTTTATTCTATATCTCATTGATTCTGCTAATTTTGTCCAGTTAAATAATGTATTATTTTGTAAATACCAATAAAATGAAATAGCTTCAATAAATTCTTGAAAGCCTGTTCTGTATGCTTTTAAATATAAATATGGATCATGACCATATAATTCCAATGCAATATTTTTAAACAATATCTTAATAAGATTATTTATTCTTGTTTCAGCTTCTTCCAAAATAGTATTTCTTTTGCTTTCCTTATCAAGAGTATGTAGCAGAAAAATTATTCGTTTACTTTCAATTGTAATATCACGGTTAATTTTAACTATTCTTTCATATCGATCATGTTTGGTATCCAATTCAATAGCATATTTTTTAAACTGTTTAATAATGTGACTGTTTTCATTTATACCTTGTAATACTTCTTTTCCCTTATCGCCAACATTAATTTTATGGTAAGAATTATGTTGATTTTTTTTATCGTTTGAATAACCTGTAAACGAAATAAAATTATTAATAGAATTAACTGATAAATAATTAACTAATATAGTTTTTAAATCTTTTAAAAATAAATGCATATTATTATATATGTATACCTTTATATTCCGACATTAGAACATATATTATTGTATAAATGGTTATATTAAATATTTCTTTATTTATATTTCTTTTTAATGTTATTATTTATTGAATTATTTTTATTTTCTTATAATAAAATTACGAAAATATATTTTTTTAAATTTCACTTTTGTTATGGACTTATGACAATCTGATGTTTGATAAAAATATTTATTATACATAGTTTTAGGTTAGTTTTGTTGCATATATATATATATATATATATATATATATTTATTTATTTATACTATAGTTGAAATAATAAAAAAAGAAGTTTTTAATTATTTACACATATTGAATAAAAAATTAATATTATTTTTATTTTATTATTTTTAAATGACATTAATGTTAGCATTCGATTGATTTATTTAATTATATAAGATAATTTTACTTTTTAAATTCTTTAAAGAAATTAAATAACTGATATGTTAGTTCTGTTATGATCATATTAAAGTTAACGAATTACAATGTGTTTGAATAAGATCGTTGTATTTAATTAATTGATGAGTTTATGCAGTACTTAATATACTTAATATTAAACGTTATCGTAATTGTTACTATATTATGCTATTTAATATTATTTGAGTTTTATTGACTGATTTTAAGGAAATAAAGTGAATAAATAAAATCGTATTGAATTAAATGTAATTAAAAATTTTAATTTCTGTAAAGAAAAATCACATAAAAAAAGGTATTATATAAATTAAGTTTTTTGTATTAAATAGAAATTTAATTAGGATTAGATGTAATTAATTTTGATCAATCTAAATGAATACTAAATGAAACTAATATTTTAGTAATAGTATATATTTAAAATTTAAACAATATAAATTGTCAATAATTAAATTCTATTATTTATTGGATATCGTGAAACTCTGGTTAATTACACATATTATTACAAGGTCTGTAATCTATAATAAATTATAAGCGACGAATTTGGTTTTTAGTACCAACTTAAAGATTAATCAATAATTATTTTAAATTATTAAAAATATATATATTTTTATTGGCAATCAAATTAATTTTTATTAAAATTATCTTATATTTTTAAGGTATTAAAAATACGATATGTTTTAAGTATGATATTAACCTGTTAAGCATGTACGGTTATGATAAAATGTATGGTTTGATTATCCTCGCAAAGGCATAAAATTTGTGTGTATTTGTCACAAATTTGTCCGCAACATGTTTTGTTTTACATCCCCTAGATAGGGGTTGAGAATATATTTTGATGAATATATTTTGAGCAATTCTATTTTAACAATTTAAATATTATAATTTAATATTAAATTATATTGACACTGCAAAATTGGTGCATTGTTTTAGTAATAACAGTTTCCTATTATACACAATAATGCGTAAATCGACAAATATACATAAAACAAATAAATATATTAATAACAACGTCTTAAACATATAAAATCAATATTTTAAATTGCTACAAATACACAAAATAAATTAAAGCAATGTAGATATGAATGTGAGTACTATGGGTAAATTTTTTTAAAAAACATATGAATTTTAGGTAAAATTCGTTTAAAAAATTTATTTAAAAAATAAAAATACAGAAGGCGAACTTAATACATAGTCAATAGTGATTTTACTGTAACCAAGGCGGTGGCCAGAAGTGTCGTTATTTGTCTTCTCCTGGGTGAGTTAACAATTTTTCGGTCTAGTCATTTTATTTGTAATGATGAGCTAGAGTCTGCGGATGTACGTTTCTTTTCTTCGTGTAACAGTGTATGATGCTCATTATGGCAGTTCTTGCAGTTTTTCGTGCTGAAGCATGGGTTTGGTAGATGTTTAATTAAGCAGTTTTTACATAACTGTAGGTTTTTTGCAACGGCTTTTGTTTCGTCAATCGTCAATTTCTTAAATTGTTCGCATAACCATATTTTGTGGTTTTCATTGCAGTAGGTACATGAAGGGTGATGTCGATTAAGCTTCAGATAATTTTCATGATTGTCAGTCTCATCTGATGACTGACATATTCTTACGGATTTTTTAATGCATGTGTGAGGTTGAAAATTATATCTTTGTTGATCTGTCTCTTGCAAATTTAGGATATGATGTTGAGTCACCGAGTGATCGTTCCCACTCCGTTTTTGTCTGATTGACAAGTTGCATTAATACTATGTGAACTGCTATGCAATCCCGTGCATTTGGGATATCAAATTGCATTAAGGATTCCAATAAGTCACTTATTTTGCTTATTAATTTCTCTAGATCGGTGGCTGATTTTATGATTGAATTATAAGGTGGTAATGAACTGTTGTAAAAGTGACTTCAGTGCTAGTCGGGAAGTATTATTAGATTATTAGATTGTAGTCGACACGTTATGTGTGTATATTATAATTAATGTTATGTTAATTATGTATGTAAATGTTAATTAATAGCTGTGTAAATGTTAATAACTGTTTGACTGAATGTTTGTTTTAAATTGTACTGAGTATTAACTTATGATTGAGTAATTGGTTAAGGTACAGTGAGTGATAATTGTTGGTTGAATGTTAGAAAAGAAGACAGTGAGTGCCAGTGCGTGCGAGCTGGTCTTAAATATTAGCGTGGCAGCTTGAAACGCTGGCAGTAACGCTTGAACTTGTTGCTAGGCCGAAAGTCTTGATGACGTTAGAACGAAGCTACAGAATATTCGAGAAATCTTGAAGGACGGACACTGCCTTGGAAGGTTCGAGAATTGCCAATCGTCGTTACTATGCAGAAATATTGTAGAGCGTTAGACAATAATGCGTAAACTATTTAAGAATTCGCAGAATCAATGTTTACAAACGTAAGCATCCGAAAGCTTGTACTTCTTCCACTTTTCAAAATCTTCGACGTTGCTCCAATCCGTAATAAGTAATTTTTATTTTATGTGAGATTAAGTAAAGTTAATTTGTTATATTAAATAAGTAAAGTCATACTTCAGTTATCAAATAATAAATTAACATTAGAAATGGGCTTAACCCATTTAGAGCTAATACCTGAAAATATAGATTGAGATTATATTCGGATAAAAGTTTTTTTTCTGTTCAAAAGAGAAAAGCAAAATCATAATATTGTAGCACTGTAGTTATATATACGCATATATGCTATAAGAATATTTTAAATGTTTGACGTATGATGAATTAAACAAAGAATGTAAATAATAATCACTTTTTTTTTTTAATTTTGCTATAAAACAATATATAATATTTTTACATTATATTCTATCATTTAATAATAATTTGATAATTAATCTAACAATATACAATTATAACGAATTATCAGTTTGTATTACAAAATTCACCTGTTCGCAGTATAATTAAATGTTTAAAATTTATAAATTTTAAATTAATTAGATTTAAATGTAAATTTACAGTTTCGATCAAATTATAGTAATAATTTATATTATTATTAAATATGTAAAAATTAATTAAGTAGAATATTATTGACAGATTCGTAAATTTTATATTGATTTCTGTAATTATTAATTGCATATGAAATTCTTGAAATATAATAAAATATCAAATAATAAAAAATAATTATATATTACAAATTAAATTAATGTTATCGTAAAGTCGATTTTTAATTAATACATTTTTTAGTTTTAATGAATATAAGTATTGATTAGAAATTATATTTAAATTTGTTATTTATTTATATAAAATTAGATAAGGTATAAATAAATATGAAAGCAAAACTTTCATATAAATTATTTATATACAATATTTACAAATATATGATAGATCAGGTTGTTATAAATCATTTGTATAGTTAAAAATTGTTCTTTTTTGGTAAATTTAATTATTTTCTTCATTCTTATAGTAATTTAAAATTTCCTTATATCTATTTAGATACAACTTTCTTGGACGGTTGTATGTTTGACTATTGTTTCTGCATGTCGGTTTGTTCTTTGTAAGCTGTTGTATGTCTGAAAGTAAAGTAATTAAAGTAAAATTTTATATTAATAAGAAAATATTTATAAAAATTCTTCAATGAATTTTCTTGACTTAGACGTACATACATTTGCTGCAGCTTGAGTATAATTTCTATCATATGTAACAGCTTGTGGTACTTGTTCACCTACTAGATAACGTGATCTTCTTGGTAATGATCCATATATAGAAAACTTACCATCTAAGGCAAAATATTTGCTATTATTAAAAAAATTTATATTGTAGTTGAGTAGTTTATTTTTAATTTATTAAATTCAATTGATTTGAATAAAAAGGAAATAAAAATCTGTCGCATTATGTTCTTTGATTTTATTGATTTTGTATTCATGTATTTATGTATGATTGAATAAGTTGAACAAACGAGAGAAGAGATGTTTAGAAATGTAGTTACTGAAAATATTTCAAATTCATGTTTTAAATATGGTTTTGTGATAAATTTGGAAAAAGTTAAGGTTTCATTGTTGATTTTATAAATTAGAAATTTCATATTAAATTTTTACCGGAAAAATAACAATTAGCGGTGTTTTTGGGTACGTATAATAAATTAATGGTAACTCGGTCAACATTGATACTATTTATTTATACACACATGTACATATATATATATATATTACCTATATAATTATTGGTCAATGTTGTTGTAGGTATAAGATCAGGATTTCCATCCTCTTCTTCATTTTTAACTCCAAATGTGGCAATGGTCGGTTGCTGGGCTGGTTTTGATTTTGACGGCGAGGCATGTTTTCTCCACAATGCCATTAATACTCCGATCACTATAAGCCCTAATCCGGTAGCCGTCCCTCCTAGACCAATCAAGATGGGTGATATGTCAAGTGAAATACCAGTTTCTCCTATGAAACAAATTTTTCGTTGTTGAAGAAGTGTTATTGTTAAATTAGGCTTATTTACATTTTTGAGAAGTGTAATGTTTTATAGAGTAGTGTTATATCGATGTTATTCTATGTTTTATCGTATTTTTAATTGTTCATTTATTTTAATCTATTACGTTCCATTAATGTCAACACTTGTTTTTTTATTTGTAATATACCGTATTTATCA